ATTGAAACTGCGAAACGGGATGTTTGATACCAGGGTAAACTTTATCAGTTAAGCCATGCGTGTGTTCAAGACTGTACGCGCACAAACAATGTGGCCCACCGGTGCCCTATACTATAGGCCTAGGCTATAGGCTAGACTCTAGACCCTCGCACGCATGTCCCATGCAGCCCCTTGGCCGCACCCCTCACGCGGGCGCTCGATGCGGGCCCGTGAGCTCCATGAGAGGTTCTCACCGCCTCCCCCACCCCCATCTCTTGCGAAACCCATCCCCGATAGACAGATCATGCCAATGCGGAGCTCTGATAATATGTTCCAAGTGGTTCAAGAGTCTCCCAATGCCCACAGCCCAAAGACTCCGACCTGCAAGCAAGACTCGACGGACGGGCTGGCCGCAAGCCTATCATGAGATATTATTGCCCCGATCTCCTGTTCAAAGTCCCCCATGATCGCTGTCGACGGCCAGAAACGCATTTTCATCATAGAAGATCGTCGATGGTGCACTGGCGGCACTGGAGTTGGAATAACTACTTTCGGTGTCCCATTGCTGCAGCTCGCTGGGGGTGTCATCAACGGGGGGGGGGGGAACGATTGCAACGATTCGGATGATAGCTGAAAGCCGTAGCTACTTGTTAACTGTTAACCAACATCCATGGCATCACGCCATTACGCCGTATGCCATATGCCATATGACATACGACACCAACGCACTACTCTTGCATCGTTTCCCCCCCGCACCCCTGCGTGCGCGCGCGGTGGGGCACCCCTGGGAAATGACCAGATTTGCCAGGCCCCAGGGCGCGCCAAAACTGAGGCACTGGTTCCCATCTTGAGCCGGGAAACCTTCTGGCGCAAGTGCCCCCCCCCGCCTTCTACTCTACTTCTACTTTCGACTGAGACTTCTTAGAAGACTTACCTGGTACCTGGTGGTTGCCTGGGCCTGGGCCACACGCCCCCCTCGCCCCTGGCCGCCGAGCTGCTCCAGAGTTCTCAAGCAGCAAGCCCAACATACGACGCACGGGCCACGGTGAGTGCGGCGGCGACAATGGGGGGGCCTTCAATGCTCAACGCCTTCAACAACCCATGCGACGCCTGCTACATCGATGGCCACTGCGATGAAGATGCGGCCCCACCCTGACCCCTGCCACACGCACCCCGTCGCCCATCTGACAGGGCCAACGGCGAAGGCGGAGGGATCTGACACCACGCGGATGGGGGGGGCGCGCTTCACTGGGAAGGTCTGGCACGCGAACAGTGAGCCAACATGGGCAAGGCGGATGATCGACATCACATGGGAGGGGGACAAGGTCAGGAATCCAGAGCTCCAATTATCTCCGAGGGCGGCTCGACTTTCGCATGTGCTCTAAACTCTAGAATCTAGAAACAAACCTGAACGCAAAGCTGCGAGCAACGTCCTGCCGGGCTGCAACGTCCTCCTCCCGCAACCTCGCGGGGAGAATGTTGGACACGGAGGTCGGCGGCTGCAGCGTGCGAAGGTTGATGATGCTGTCGACCCTCTGCGAGATCCACTGCAGCGACCTCTCGCCGCCCAGCATGTCGTCTATGCCCAAGATGTACAGCCTTGCGCGGAGGCGGGTGGGAGCCGGCGGTGACCAATCCTGGCCCTGGTCCTGCTCTTTCCTGTTTACTCTCCGTTTTGGCATCATATCCAATCGGGCCACTCCCCAGGCCCCCCTAGGCCCTACGTCACTTCATCCTCCTCCTGCTCACCTGCCTCCTCCAGCCTCTCCCTCCTCATCCACCCCCCTCATCCCTCCCTCCCTGCTTATCCTCTGTCCTCCTTCCTCCTATCCTCTTCCTCCGGGCCCTCGCCCCCCCCCCCTCCCCCTCGCCTGCCTCCTCGTCTCAAGTGCTGATGTCTCGGGCGGGGGGGCTCTGAGCTGGACATCGGCATCAAGGAGATAGAACTGAACACTGAACGAAAGCCACAAACAAAAACCCGCGGCTGAAAACATCGCAAGGGAGGGGGGGGGGGGGGGCGGACCGAATCTGAGAACAACCGCAACTGAGCGGCAAAAAAAACATCAGGCGGCCTTGGCCACGCAAGCTCTGAACCGCCAGGGACTTCATTCAAGAAGCCAAACCTCAGAGACTCGTATTCTATTCACCCGACTCCTGGGCGTTGAAGGACCACGGCCCATGCTCAGGCCTGAAAGGCCTTGGCATGTGGCTAGAGTCGGCTAGAGCGGCTAGCGGCTAGCGGCTAGCGGCGGCTAGCGGCTAGCGGCTAAACGGCTATGCTTATAGCTGCTATAGCTGCTATGGCTATGGCATATGGCCATGGCCTCCGGAATGGCCAACGACGATTTTTTACTGGATGGGGGTCAGTGAGGTTGTCCGAACTACGTTCGATCCCGATTGGGGAGCGGCGGGCCTCTTGCGATCCATCTCGCTCCAAACGGAAGCGTCCATGAGGAACACTTGGATGCTGTAGCCCAAGTCCGCGCACATCTGGCAGAAACACTCTAAGTAGCTCTGGCCGCCAGTCTGGCCGGCCTTTGTCTTCCTCGTCCTGAACTCCTCAATCTCCTCCACGCAAAAGGCGTGCGGTCTATCGTTGCGAAGATGAGAAAACCAATCCTCGAAGACAGTACTGAATTTGCCGTGCTGCTCGGGCCTAATGCCCGACTGGCTGTTGAAGTAGTTGGAGAATGGCTGGCATGGAAGGCCCACAGTTGTCATGTGCGGCCTCTGGCGAGGTGGGCAGCAAATGCCATGGGCCTCGCAAGTAGAATACTCTGGGTTCGTTGCGTCTGCCATGCTCTGGTACAGATGCCCGTCCTGCAAGTCTGCCCTGAACACCTGCTTCAAGAAACGACGCGCCAGAGGTTTTGTATCATTGAAGCTCTGCGTGGCGGTGTCCATCATGAAAGCCTTGAACACTGCGCACTCTGCGCCGGTCCCTGAGCAACAACTTTCGTGGATCATTGGCTTGATAGGCCTCAGTGGCAATCTCGCCCGGTCTGACTCCATTGCCACAATTATAGGTTGCATCCACCACTCAGCGCCGCGAGGAATTGGAATTGGCGGGTGGCTGCGAAGCCAAGCCGCTGGCATCTTACCGTGAGGCGGCGCTGCCGCCGCGCTGCGGGGGCAACTGCTGACGCTGCCAGCACCACTTGCAGCCGGCGACCTCGACCTCGACCTCGACCTGCCCCCTCCCGCAGATGGCGACTTCTCCGGCATAAGTCCTGAAAGGCTGAGGCTGGGACTGTGACTGGGGCTCGCCTGAGGATGCAACGCCTGGGGCGACCCACCAGGACTGGAAACTGCATGCCAATCTGATCCGTGCGCTTCCCTGCTGGCGTCTGGGCCCTGCTCGAAACCGCACTCAGAACCTGCCTTGACAAACCTATATGTGGCCTTGCTCAATAATGATGATGGTGCCCCATGCGACCTGCCGCTCGACCTGGGCCTGGATCTCGACCTGGATCTCGCGGAACCAGGCCCTGGCGACTGTGAGCGCTGGCGGGGCGCTGCCTCTGGCGAAGGTGGAATGACCTCAGGCTTGAAATCTGAATCGCCTGACTGGGGCGCTTCAGCGCCCGATGCCTGGATGTCGAATAGCATGGCCTCAAGATCCCAGCTGTCAGGCCCACCCTGGCTTCCCATCGCAGCAGAGGGAGCGTGTCCGCACAATACTAAGACATAGAATATGAAGAACCAACTAGGGCATGCGCACATCGGAAGACGGACCTGAACGCCTGAACCACAAAACTGCGTCCACAAGACTGCGTCGACCAAAGAGGCACATCGCAAATCTGATAATGGAAGAGCTGATCAAGGAAGATAATGCAACGCAACGCAATGCGACCTTCAAAGCGACGCCTGCGGGGAGATGCGAGACCTGGTCATCTCGAACGCGAACAAACCCAATAATTATGGTTGAGGCTCAAGGGTGCCCCGTCTGACCTGTCTTGCATCAGCGGGCAGGGCCACAGGGGCCCACTCAGATTGGGGCTTGAATAATAGCCATTCGCCCCCACCATACCTGGACCAGCTGGATGAGGATAGCCTGCGTTCATACAATGTCTGCGCGTCCTGGTCCTAGCCGCCGGTCCTAGCCGCTAGCCTACTTTCCTAAGACCTTAGGACCTAAGACTAAGACATGCCTCACTACCTACTTAGGACCTACTTCCCCAAGGCATGTCCCACTACCTACTTAGGACCTACTTTCCCAAAACATGCCCCACTGGCCTACTTAACTTAGGACCTACTTTCCCAAGACATGCCCCAGTACCTACTTAGGACCTACTTTCCCAAGACATGCCCCACTACCTACTTAGGACCTACTTTCCCAAGACCCGAAGCCAAGACATGCCCGACTACCTACTTAGGACCTACTTTCCCAAGACATGCCCCATTACTTACTTAGGACCTACTTTTCCAAGACATGCCCCACTTTCCCAAGACCCAAGGCCAAGACATGCCCCACGACCTACTTAGAAACGGCCCAAGACATGCCCCACTACCTACTTAGGACCTACTTTCCCAAGACATGCCCCACTTTCCCAAGACCCAAGACCCAAGACATGCCCCACTTCCCCAAGACATGCCCTCGCAGAGCAGATGAGATGGCCAGCGGGGAGGCCTGCACAGCACTCCCGAAAAAAACTGCGTTGATTGAATGTTTTTCTCTTGGCCAAGCTTGCAAAGACATCCGCAAGGACGCTCTGCTCCGCGCCTGGACGACGGTCACGCTGCGTCCAACTCCGCGTCGGTCATGTCCACGTATGTGCGAGGCCTCTCGTACATCACGTGGCGCAATCTGCCCTCTGGGTCGTCTGGCGGTATGTCGCGGCCCCTGATGAGCCACTGTTTGACCAACCGTAAACAATAATCGGATGGCAACTCGTTTGGGGGCTTGCCAAACGTCACCTGCTTCTTGCACTCGAGCGTGTCGTATGTGTTCCTGTGGCAACCGCACACTGCGCCCCAACCGATCTGGACCCCCCGGGAAAAGACGCCGGCAACATCCCAACCGCGCCAGTTGAAACTCCGAGGAACTCCGCGGCCTCGGGCTCCACCGCCGCGGCCTCTGCCAGCTGCTGGCGCCGCTGGAGCGGCTGGGGGCGGCGGCGGCAGCGGGGGCGGCATGTCGCCACCTGGATCTCCATGTCCGCCGCCGTCGCCGCCCCCGGGGCCGCCGCCCTCGTCGCCGCCTTCGCAGCCGCTGGCATCCCCATCGACGCCGAAAAGATCATCGTCCCATGGGTCATTATCTTGGACTGCTGCGAGGTCTGCGTCAGGGCCAGCCAGCACGACGTCTCCTGCATGGTCTCCGCCATCGCCGCCATCACCGCCGAGGTCCACATCGACGATGGGCGCGAGGACTGGCTTGGCTTCTCCTTTCGAAGAACCCCCCTTGGCTCTCGCTTGGCGAAGGCGCCTCTTGGGGCCACTCCAGAAATTGAACTCGTCGTCGTCTCCTGTTACACCGACTGCATAGACCTCCAGCCCGAAGCCTGGGACGAAATTGAGTCTCTCGGAATCCCCAGCGAATATTCGAAAAAAAGAACAAGACCAAGCAACCTCAGCATTAAGAATGGCACAAACTCTCCACGCATTAGATATTCCCAAGTGGTCAGACTCGCAACCATCAAAATCTAATGAAACTCTGCCGAATTCTGCTGCATACTCCACAGCCCCATCATCCTTGGACTGACATAAAAGGGGCCATATCCATGTGCATCGTATTAAAATTTATGTAGCTAATGTGCCACCACGCAATCGTATCCACCTCTGGCGAGAAAAACTTCACAACCAGCGCTCCCAAGTCATGCAAGCGCCGGAGCTCTGAATCCTTGGCAAGGACCCGCCTAGTGAGCTGGCTGAATGCGCTGGCCATGGCGATGCGGGACTGCCCCATGAGGCCGCACAAGCAGAAGCCAGCGATGAAACAAAGGCGAACGCCCCTCGAAGACGTTCGCTTGGGCTGGTCAGCTGCCAGTAGCGGAAGATGCCGCTGCTCCCAAGCAACGACGAGCACTTGCAACGCAGAGTTGGAATGAGAAAGAGCCCTGCACGCCATCCGATCAAGAGGGGGAAGCCACTCCAAGACAACATATGGCAATGTCTGGTCGATAAAAGATACCCGTGCGCCGTGATCAGCATTGCGCGCGGGAATGTCTGCAGGAACTTTGTAGCTCTGAGATGATGACCACTGCGCGTACTGCTGGGCATTGGCCAGCCTCTCCTCGCGGGCTGTCTGCACTGCATGTCTCGATCGTGTCCGCGCGCTTCGGGTCGCGACCTCCAACCCCCCCAAGCCTGCCTGGATGGCCAACGCGTGAGAGTCATCTGTGATATCTGGAAGAGCTGAACGAGGCGCTGCAAATATGCCGAACGCAGGGGCGCCCACGGATGAAGATACCTGGCCCATCCGCCCCTGCCACTCGAGTCGGTAAAAATCATGCCCCCGGCGTGCAATCACGTCGCGCCTGTGGGCATGAGCTGCTCGGAATACGGCTTTCCTCTCATGTTTGGTCCATGTCCTGCCGCGAAGGTAATCTCGTATGCAAGCGCGCTCGAGGCCGCCATAACCTCGGGAACACTGCAAATGCACGGGAACACGGCTGCGCCCAAACAGCGCTTGTACAATGATCCTGGCCCTCGAGATGCTGGAACGCTAAGGGCGGTTCCCCCCCCCCCAGGGGGGGTCGCGTTGAGGGCAGGGCCCCGGCAGGATAGGTCCGGTGGGGGAAGAGTAGGAGGAGGAGGGCGGCATGGCATGGCATAGCATAGGCATAGGACACAGGGACATAGGGCCTAGGGCCATAGGGCCTGCCATAGGGCCTAGGGACATAAGGCATAAAGAAAATCAAGCTGCCGCTATTTATCTGATGCCATAGTATATGCTATCTGCTATATTCGCACGATGTACCAATCTTTCTGCCGCGGGGCCACTGTTGGAAACTAGAATCTAGAACTCGATTTACCAACCGTTCGGCCCGTTACGTTAGCCGTTCGCCTTTACGCCGCAGGGCCTGCATGCGAAATCAGTTGTGACTCTAAGACTCTAAGACTCTAAGACTAGGTTCCTCGAGGCCTCCTCCACCTCCTCCCCCCCCCTCCTCCTCCTCCTCCTCCTCCTTTTCCTCCTCCTGCTCTGAGCCACCCTGGCCAATTTCGTAAACCTTCTTGCTGGGTTCTCCTCCTCCTCTCCTCTCCCCCTCCTCCTCCTCCTCCTCTTCCTCCTCTAAACCCTCTCTCTCCTCCTCCTCCTCCTACTCCTCCTCCTCCTCCTCCTACTTCCTTCCTACCCCTTCTCCTCCCCCTTCTCCTCCCTCCTTCTACTCCTCCTTCCTCCTCCTCCTCCTCCACCTTCCTCCTCCTCCTCCTGTGCTCCTCCTACTCCCCCCCCCCCCCCCCCCCCCTCCCCCCTCCCCTCCCCCCCCCCCCCCCCCTCCCCCCCCCCCCCCCCCCCCTCCACCTCCTCCTCCTCCTCCTCCTCCTCCTCTGCCTCCTCCTCCTCAACCTCCTTCTCCTCCTCCTCCTCCTCCTCCTCCTCCTCCTCCTGCCTCGGAGCTGATCCTGGATGACCTGAAATCTTGGCGCTACCATGGGGCTGTCGCACTCGTTACCTCGCTAGATTTAGATCGAACGAGCATTTAAATTTAGAGCGCCAGCGAACCAATCAAACCCACAACTTGCAATTTCTGCGCAACGCAACGCAATGCAACTCACCCCCTTGGAATGAATGGGCGAATCAATGCGAACTGAGCCCTGGCAGCGGCACTGTTACTTATGCTTGCTGATACGGCGTGGGACTTAGGATTTGGGTAGGACCTAGGACCTAGGACTTACGCACTTAGCAAGTAACAACTAGTAACAATAATTAAGGTTAGGGCGAGGAGGGGGGGTCTGTGGACATTTGGGGAAAGGCCGCCCTGGGACCTCTCCGGGGCCGCTTGGACTTCCTCATCGCTCCTGGGCGGCCCTGCCTGCGCGCGAGGCGAGCTGCCTTCGCTGGGTCTGCAGGCGCGCCCCTCTGGAGCCTCCGCCTCCGTCTCTGGCCCCTCGAGCTGCCCTCCGGGCGGGCGCACGTCGACCGCGAGAGCTGCAACTCGCGGCGCAACCTCTGGCTCAGATTTCAGAAGGTGCGCCCTCGGCTTCGACCCCCGCCCCACCCCCCTGACTGGGCGCCAAATCACCGCGACGCCGGGGGGGGGGGGCGGCGGGAGGGGGGGGGCGGGCGTTGGCCCCATGCGACGACGCGCAAATCTCGGCGCCAAAATCCCCACGCCCCTAGCAGCTGGCCCTAGCAAAAAACTTCGCAGGACAGCTGTCCTCTGACGCCCAAACTCCTAGACTCTCTAGACTCTCCTAGACCTCCCCCCCGAAGCACGACTGACAGACAGACTCTGACGGTCCATGGGAGGCGAAACCATATATATGTCATAATATATGTGTTGCAATGGTCCCTGGGCCTGCCTGGCGAATTCCAGTGCGGCATTTTGCTGGTTCACTGGGTGACTTGAAGGAAGGGATCGGAGGATCGTTGAAACGACTCAGAATGCTCGTTCGGAACTCGCCAGGGCGCCACTCTGACTCTCCAGCCCATGCACTCAACTTCATGGGTGCCTCGACTTTGAAAGGAGCCCCCCCCGGGGGCTGGGGCCCTTCTGCCCTCGGGCGCGCAGGAAGGGGGGGGGGCATCAAGTCTTAACTTAATATTTGACATGGGAAGCCTGAGGATCAAGAAATCTGCTGAAGCCCTGCTGAACGGAATGGCGTTCGTCTGGGCCTTCCGGCAAAGGCGCCTGATCTGAGCGTTGCGGCACTCGATTGAACCGATGTCTAGGGCAGCCTCCTGGTTGACCGCTGTCAACGTCGCCATGCAATCGGAACTGGTCAGCTTGGCCGCTGTCGGCCATGTGGTGACCACAGCCTGGCGGTGCAATCCGAAAGCTGCAATGCCATCAATGCCCTCCCCGACAGAACCCCGCCCCTTTCCCCGGCCGAAGCTTCAGGGACCAAATTAATGTAATGTTCAATGCATGGGATTAGTTTAGTTAGTTAGCGGTTTGGTGTTTGGTTGGGTTAGAGTGGTTAGTGACGTGGTATGGTTGTATGGTTAATACACGGGACTGATGTGTAATAGCTACAATTATGTAATATGAATATGTAACGTAGAGTAGGACAAATTGCATAATTGGCATATCGCGCGCGCGCCCGAATACATAGGATAACGGAAAGAGCGAGGTGGAGCGATGACGTTCAGGCGGGGCGAAGCCTTACAGGGAGGGGCCCCAGGGGAGGGGGGGGGGGCGCGCGGGAATTGGTGCTAATCGGGGGTAGGTCCTAGGCCCTAGGCCCTAGGCCCTAGGCCCTGGGCCCTGGGCCCTAGGCCCTAGGCCCTACCCTAGGCCCTAGGCCCTTAGGCCCTAGGGTTGTTGTATGTTTTTGTTTTCTGATTTTCTCTCCAGACGGCCGAAGTTCTCTTTCAAAACAGCCCAAGAGCGTTCCAACACAGCCCAAGGCCGCCCAAGACTGCCCAAGAGGCCCCCGAGAGGCCCAAAAAAGAAGCCCCCAAGAGCCCAAGAGTCCCAAGAGGCGCCCAAGGGGCGCCCCAAGAGGGCCCCAAGATGCCAAAATCTTTGATTCCCCACGAGGAAAACGTAGATTTTAGCGTAGACGACGGCCCAAGAGTCAAGAGGCCCCCAAGACCGCCCCAAAAGACGGCCCAAGAGGCCCCCGAGAGGCCCTGCCCAAAGGGGGGCCCCAGACGGCCCAAGAGTCGAGGCGCCCGAGACGGCCCAAAAGCCAAAAAGAGCCCCAAGAGAGCTCGCGAATGCTGCCCAGCAACTGTTTTTTTGAGAGGGCCCCACAAAAACATTGCCGCGGCTGCCCAGGAGATGCCCCGAGAGGCCCAAGAGTCCCCAATGGCCCAATGGCCCAAGAGCCCACAAGAGTCACAAGAGGTCCCGAGAGGGCCCCAAGACCCAAGACCCCAAGACTGGCCGGGGCCATGGGGCCCCGCGAGAGCCCCAAAAGGGCCCAAGAGGGCGCCAAGACAAGACGGCCCCAGAGGCGCCCAAGACCGCCCAAGAGGGCCCCGCCCCAGAAGGGGGACCACGAACCCGAAAGAGCCTTTCGCCCCAAAACGCTCCTGGGAGGCCCCCACAGACCCCGTAGAAGCCCCGGCCCCCAAGAGCCTCAAAAGGGGGCTAAAAAAAGGGCCGCAATTGAACCCCAAGAAGGCTCAGAGAAAGAGCGATCGGCAACGCAAAATCAAAGTGCTCTTCACACCAAGGGGTCACCAAGGCTCCCAAGAGCGCACGGTGACGTAAACAAGCTGATAAACTAATAAAACTTATAAGAATTATAAGAC